GACGGGAGCATTGGTCATTGTTTGGGCCTGTGACCATCTCTGAATGTACTTGGGCTTATTTTACGTCTAGACGGACCACAAGCCCCTATTGCCATTGTTGTCAAAAAACGTCTCGGCGAAATGACACGGCGACTATAGCGACTGAAAATGCGCATATTTGAGTACCATGTTACCATCTCACGCGTAACGGGCAAAGAGATGTACACCGCGGGCGTTTTGTCCAGGAAGCCGCGAACAAAAAGTCACTCCGTAGACACGTAGAGGGCTGCGGACACTAGCGGGACAATCTTTCAGGAACGCGATATGCTTACGGTGAATCTCGCATGATTTACTGTGGATCTTACTGCGGAGATCACGTCATTTACAAGAATGTGTCGAGACGAGTGATAATACGGTGAGGAGGTTACAGCGAAAATTTCCTGAGTTGGTTTCTGTAATAAAAGTTTCGATGAGGAAAGTGTCTTCGTTAGCTGACTGGCTCAACCTTGATATGTTAGGTTATGAAGAGTATTCCGAAAAAAGGAAACGAAACGATCTTGACATTCTCGTTCTGCACATTTGCACGTTTATCTCGTAGGATATGGGGATGGCGGTTAATAAACAATCCGTGCTTTCATTCCCTCAAAACACCCTTTAATGCCTCCTTAACAAACTTGAACGATTACTCCTCATTAATGCATGTCATGTATTGGAAGGATTTAGAGGTAAAGGTAATTTTTCACTGTTCCTTGTGATGAGAGACAGAGAGTCTTCCAGAGAGCTTGTTTATTCCTTCTCATAAACCTATTCGGATCACGTTACTGCATAAACTGTTCCCAGAAGCCGCAGTTTTTGTCGCCGATGTCGTACTGCGTAGAGTAATTCCCGGGTTGAAGCCACAAGACCGCAGGACTCCAGGGAGTGTATTGTGTCCAGTTGACGCCAACAAGCTTCGGTGTCCTGCATGCGGAGGAAACAATGGTCAGTTATTTCCGGGGGCCTGTTCACAAAATTTCTGACTTGTGCCAGGTTTGGTCTCACCCTTTTATCAAAATTCAATGACCAACTTCTAATAAGACGAGATGTGTATGGAGCTCATTTTATAAGTGAAAACAATGATATATATCTGGCGTTCGAGAGAGTGGTGGCCAGCCATCGGATCACCATACCTGGCTAGTCTGGTCTTTGATACATTTTGCTGAATAACAGTTGTTTCAAATACGAGGCCAACCTGTGCGTCCTTTAAAGGAGATTAAATTTATGGTAGTATTTTGACAGCATGCTGCATAAGCATGCGCCCACAACGTTTGTAAGAAGACGCGTAGCAAGCTACTATCTCTAGCTTGGCACTGGGCACTAATCTTGATTCTGACAATCCAAAGGCGCTGCTACACAATGACGCCTCGCACCTAGATGGGCCTGTTTCTAGTTGACCGTGCGCATATAACTACTTTACGTATACGCGCAGTTCGCAGTCACTTTATATGCTTCAATCTCTCGCCGGCTGAATGTAGGGACTACAGGACTGCTGTCACGCGGAGAAGCATTACTGGCGCTTTTCACCTGGTTGCTCTTGGCGGCTACGTGCCTACAAGCCCTGGTTTTGTCCAGTATGCTACAGCAATGTCCGGTCTGTGCATGACAATGTTGTAGCGTCGCAAGAACACACGACAACCAATCGGAACAAAGACAAAAAAAAAATCATCAACCGCGACATTACCTTCTCACCTTCGCCCAACAATCTCCACTTGAACCATCACTATACATTTTTTTTTTCATCTGCGCCATACCATTACATCATCGTTAGACTCGTCGCCGCATGTCCATGCTACAGTGGATTTGCCTTTCTGCAGCGCCGAGGCTCTCCTCAGCTGAAATAAATACCAATATCAATATCACTACGCCGTTATATATTCAAGTTAAAAAATTAACATCCCGCCATTTAAATTTTCAAACAAACTCAAATGGTTGGCTATAGAGCAGATGCAAGTGCCCAAGAGCAGAGATCGAGGACGAGCGCCAGTATAGGATAATAATAAAGTTAAACTTTATTAAACTGGACTGAGGTCTACATGTGACTCCACTATTTTTTTCCCCTGCTTCAAATTTTTAATTTTGTTTCGAATAATATAGGTTTGTAACTCCGCTTGATTCATACATATGTCTTCGATTCAAATAGAGATTGCAATATTCTGAATCCTTATTTACTGCTGCATCGGCGTGTTTTCTTCTGATGTCCCCTTAGGTTTTTCTGGCTCCGTTTTCCCGAATTCCTCTTTACAACAAACGCTCCATGCACCATCTACACCATCGCAGTTTTTTCGTCGAATCATTGTCTGCAAGCGCACCCGAAGATGACACAGCATCATAAACCGTCGTTGGACAATGATTTTTTTTTCCAATTAGACTTTTTTTTTTTCAACGAACGAGTTTGGAAGTTTCTCTTGTGAGCGTTTCAATAGGAGAAGATTGGGGTTCAAACTTAGGGTTGCCCCCAACCTATGTCTCCGAGCCGAAATTGGAGTCGGCACGCCGGTTGCGTCACCTGTGATGTGCGTCACACCAGACACGTTTCTCTCGCTATCAGTCGGAGGAAGGAGAGCTCAATTTCCCCTACCAATGTTGACTGGGCTAAAAACTTTCCGACTCTTCCTTGACGTTTTAAAACCCACCGAAGTCCCTGGGAATTCCCGGTTTTTACGGTTTTCTAGGCGGTAAACACACTGATTTCGTGCTAAGACCCGTTCGCAGACTTGCAAACGAGTAGAACCGGCTGAGACAAGACCGTTTTTAAATCCTCTTGCGACGGTTTAGGACCTGCTCCGCAGAGCGCATTCGGTCCTACGCCGTCGCAGGAGGCTTAAAAACCGGTCTTGTCTCAGTCGGTCTTACTCGGTTGCAAGTGTGTGAACGGGCCTTTAAAGGTGGCAGAATTCGAGTGCGCTTCAGAAATTCCTCAACGTTGACGTGTTTGCGCCCATCCCCGGATTCATTATATGTTTCCCGGACGGCTAACCAGCTTCTGCTACCTATTACATGGTACAATTAGCACGTGAACAGCGCAAAAATGTTTTGGAAATATTGGAAGTCACCGCTAGATCGCAACTTTAAGACACGAACCTCCGCTCAAACCTACGTGTGGATAGGTATCCAGTGTTGCTAATTCAACGGTTTTCTCTTCTAAAATTATCGGTTTACAATGTTGTCTAGCGAGATGAATTTCAGTTCTGAGAGTGGTGGAATTTTTTAGCGGTTTTTAAGTCACGTTAGTTTTTTTTTTTTGTTTTCTTTCTGGTGGACCAATAATATTTATGCTTTTTATTTGGCATTATTAAAAACCTTAGAGTGCAATATAAGTTGGTCATAGGGCCGTCATTGTTGCTTGCGATCCGCTAAATTGTGGTCAGCGACAGCAACCCTCATCGCCATTGAGCTATTACGGTGGCAAGCATTGGAAAATAGATTTTGTGCATAAACCCGTCAATGTAATATAAAGTGGACCATATATAACGGACCCAACTAAATATGTCCAAATGGTAAATAGAGGAGAGAGGTTCAGGACCGTGAACTTGAGTTGATTCTGAAAGTTTCAAGCGACGTCAGATGAATCATACCACTACTGTAAAATACAGATGTCTGCGAGGCATTTAAATTTTCTCCCGGCAACCTTGAGATGCCACTAAATGTTGCACAAAAGATTGAAACAATGGAGGTGTGCGACAGAAGGTATGGCGATACACCTGGAACCAGCGGATGAAGCAGTGGACATCACTGTGCTCGTGAAAGCAGCCTGAATCATAAATAAGATTTTTTATTAGTACCTTTGTTTATTAAATTGTTTCTTGGCCAAATAGAGGAATAAATTCTACTAAAAAGTCGTTCTTGCCTTTCGTCCTTGATGTTTTTTGTTTTTTTTTCTGAATACTTCGGGTTTGTTAATTATGGGCTGGCAACACTGTAGGTGATACTACAAAAACGGGCCGCATGTTGGCACCGTGTATATATTATTAGAAAAATAGATCTTATCGCAACAGTAAAATGTTGTTATATTGACACAAAGCACTGCTATGACCCAGCTGGATAGCAGACAACGAGACGGCCAATTAGGACCTGTTAACGTAAACACTTGGAAGATTTTTTACATTTATTCAATTATTTTTCTTCTTCACTTTATAACGATACCGTTGAGCCCCGTTTACCGCAGCTGATACTTATAACCAGAAGGATGGGAAAATGGTCGCTCCCGAAATTTGTATTTAAACCTTCCATGAAAAGCGAGGAAGTATTGTGGGTGCCGATGCCGTGGTTGCGAACACAACAAAATCTAAAATCTCAGATTTTGTTGTGTTCGTCCGTTTTTTTTATCGTTCCCCATCTCAGGGTTTACAAGATGAAGTTGTATTGTTTATCTGCAATAAGCCATTGATAACCGTATATAGAAATTTAAATCTTTTTTTTTTACGCCTCATCTGTTGAAAATAGCGCAATGAAGCGAAAATCAAGTCCCGTAACGACAACAACCGCGTTCGAAGCGTTCTCTCCGTGGGATGAGTACTGGAAGTATATTTTGGCAGACTTTGATGAAACTAAAGTGGCCCTAAATTTAGTGCACATTAATGTAAGAAGTTTACACAAGCGTTGGATCCGTTACTGGTTTCAGATCGACTCGATGGCCTGGAGCTTTTAATACTAACGGAAACTAACATTGACATAGGGGCCTGCGTCTTGTATTCTTTGGATGGTTTTCACGCGTTTTCCTTGTGTAGAGAAAATCAAAGGATAGGCGGAATTCTAATGCTCATTAAAAATAGCTGGATCTCCGAGCAGACTGCAAACTTCGGTAGTCACGCTAAGTTTTTGGCTGTTACAATCAAACATGCTGCGTTATTCGTCATTTTTCGCTAATTATAGACCACCAAGCTCGAATACCCCTTTATTCTACGACGAGTTGGAATATTTTCTAAACGGATTTAACAATAACAGTCAGCTAGTTTTAGCTGAAAATCTCAACATCGATGTTATGAACGTATCTAAAAATGGTGTTGCAGAATATCTTAGTCTCTTGTCGGGCTTTGAAATAGAAAACGTCATAGGGAATTTCACACAGGAAGAGAGTTTGGGAACTCAAATTACAAGCAAGTGCAGTGATCACATATTTGTTAGACTCAATGATATCAACTTTGCCCCGGGGGTAATTAAAAAAAAATTAGAAGACCACTGTTTTGTCTCTCTCATGGTGTTTTGTGGTGCCCTAAAGGAGAACGGGTTGATTATGATGTTGCAAGTTTTTGTAACAATTAGATAGATACATTAATTAATGAATATGACTGGAGAATTTTGGTAATATTGGATCACATCACTGCCTATCAAAAATGGTTGAACAATTCAGAAGTAAATATAACAAGTGTATAAAACGAATTCGGTTGGAACAAAAAGAAAACCCGAAATGCGTGGATTACTATTGAAATAATTAAGTTGTGTCATGAAAAAGATGTACTCTGGAATAGATGTAAAGCCAACCTTGAAATATATCATTTCGCCATCTTGGCTAGATCCCGATTTCTTTTTTAAAAAACCTACGACCGGAGCGTCTTGACTTAAAGCGAACTTACCCATGTCTCGCAAATGAGGAGAATGCTCTCATAACATCTTGACTGAAGTTCCGGTCTTCGTCTGAGTAGCTCTCATAGTCCAAAAGGGGTGCTCCGAAATAGTATGGAATGTCCGCCATGTGGGGGACGCCACTCCATATCGGCAACGTGGACTTGGCGGACCTGTGGCCGAACACAAACGAGTACACCGAGTTGCCTTTCCCCGAGTGCTTCTGGGAAAAATATTTCATGGGGCACACGAAGTAAGAGTCACCTAAAAATTCGGTGTACATCTCCCTTAACTCCTGTTTGTTACCCTGTGCCGCCTGTGCCGCGTAATACTCGACGAGATCAATGTACTTGTCTCTCATAACTGCGACTATCATTTCCCGTAGAGCTGGCGTCAGTTCCTCCACCGAAACATTGCTCAAATCTTCGTCCCAGAAACGTTCGTCTGGCTGTGATGTCACCATGACGGTGCCTTCCGAACTTGTGACACTAACCATGGCGTCGACGTCGGCGAACCGACCCTGCCTCAATGCCAAAACGGGTCGAACTGGAAAGAACTCGTTCGGATAGGTCGGTACGAACGTAGACAATTCAGGGTCAGTTACGTTAGTTGCAGCATCGAATACTGCATCCGTCGACTTGCTGCGTAAGCATTCCAAGACAATGTCCGGATGACTGCTCAGGTCAAGGAATGGTCCGGTGCAATTAAGTATCGCGGCCACCTGGCTTCCTTTGTCTGCACTTTCTCGAATGGTGTCAATCAACCCGGTGGAATCGTATGTACCGCTCATCATGAAAGCTCTGTGGAAAAGGCCCCTGCTCAGGGGAGATATGATGTGGGCGTGCACGCTGTAACCCCCTGCGCTTTGGCCGAATATGGTTACTCTCGTCGGGTTTCCGCCAAATGCTCGGATGTTTTCTCGTACCCATTGTAGAGACAGTCTTTGGTCTAAGAGCCCCACGTTACCGGGAGCGTCTGGAACACCGGCGTCGAGAAAGCCGAAGATACCGAGGCGATAATTGATGGTCACAACTACCAAGTCGTGCATTACTGCCAGCAGTGATCCGTTGAACTCGTTCTGGTAAGAACTGCCCAAGGCGAAGCCTCCTCCATGAATCCATACTACGACCGGTCTCGTCGGTTTTACAGTACTGGCTGTCCACACGTTCAGGTAGAGGCAATCTTCGGATAAATCCGTTTCAATGTCGGCCAGTGATGGGTTGACTTTTTGAGGGCAGGAAAACTTCTTTTGGGTGGCATCGTAAGTACCGGACCACGACTTCGCAGGTAGTGGTCTGCGGAAGCGAAGGTGATCAATAGGCGGCTCTGCGTATGGAATCCCCAAAAAAACTTGAACCGTTTTTCCGGAGACGGATTCTACCTGTCCTTTAAGTTGTCCCAGCTTCGTTTCGACAATCGGCTCATCTTCCATGGCCGTTGCGGCGATACAGACGAGTAGAACGGCAAAAAACAATGTATGAATCATGGCTTTCGCAGGACGTTCTCCCGACCTGGGAAGAACACAGAAATGAGACACCGTCAGTTTCTATGGAGCACGAGGAGATACGACGAGGCCTCTAGTCAGAGCCTCTCCGTGTTTCGCGAATACCAGGGTATTTATACGCCCGAGCGCGTTGTTTTCTTATCTTGTACCTGCTCGTACCTGATTCAGTAAACGTAAAATAAGAGCCAAGTGAACGCAAAAGTAATTAGCGGCATTTTAGCAAAGTAACAGCTGTACGATTGGGAAGTTGTGTGTATGTTTATACAGAACTTGGTCTGCCTCAACGGGCAACGAGTCTCCCAGCTGTAGATGAGCAATTTTGAAAGTGCAGTACAACCGCTAGACCGGGGTCTTTAACGCGCACCACGCAGTAGTGGTACACAACCGCCCGCCGGTACGATGCTCATCCAGACCGAAAGGGGCAGAGATGTGGATGGAACCCAGGATCCCTCGGTAACAGCTGTACGAGGATAGCGTGTAACTGTGCAACAATTGCAAAAAAAACTACTCGCAGATTTTTTTTTTTTTTTGCGTTTAACATTTTACGGTTACGGTATGTATAAAAATTGCCTATGCATTAGAGCAATACAGCCAGGGGGGCACATTAGTGAGTTAAATGTCGGAATAAATCGTATACCTTAGTAATGCTTTCTAAAAAAAATTATTTTGTGAAAATCAACATATCTCATTAGAAACTTGCTGAGCGTCATTAAATACCACAAAATAAGTACATTTTATAAATACTTCAGTTGCGTCGGAATCGCGGTGTTGAGCTAGAGTTACCGCTCGTGCAAATGGAGCAAGGCTGGCGGTGAGAATACATGGATAAAGAGACGAAAAAACCACGCGAGCGCGTTATTATTCTGTCAGGAAGTTTCCTAAGTCTTCGCTAAAATACCTGTTATAGAATATGATCACATTGAAATAATAGGTTAACATTTCGCGTTCGTGCGCGAGGGACACACACGTGATCGCAACCTCTTGTTTTCAGTTACTGTCAAACCGGAGTGCTGTGGCAAATCAGATCATCTCGTGCTGACGCGGTACTGCGTCAATCGCCGCGTGGTGTTGCAAAGGCCGCATTCGATACCTGCAGCACGGTGCCTTCTACGACTCGAGAAAGACTCAAAAATGGATTGCCAGACGGACTTTCTTCAGTTCGGCAGCGGTTCACGACGACCGCACACCTGATCGCCACTGGCTCTGCAGGTGAATAAACTGATGGAAGTCAGTACCAATCTCTTATTTATTCAGCCGAACAGATCAACTTTTATGATTAGTAGTTTTACAGTGTTGATCTGCTTAGAAAATGTTTCGTGACTCGACATTCCAAAATGATGGAACTAAAACAGTTTACAAATGTGCTTGAAGGCATGCGTCGTGGGGTAAGAACCGACCTAAGAAGTCCAAAGGACAGTGTAAACTGTTGTAGCCAGACGTGTGATGACCTCACTGATGTATCTGACCACATTAAAGAACTGCGAAACGAAATACGGTACCTGACAAAATAAAACCAGGAAAAAAAAAAATTAAGACTCCAATCTACGCTGTGAAGCGAAGCTGTGGTATCACCTGCACCGATTGCTTATTGCATTACAAACCTTTTTAATGGAAACGCCACCAGGTGGTGCTCCAGTCTTTGGCGTCCCGAAGAACCTGCGGTTTATAAAAAGAATGAGCGACGAGTTGCCATAGCAACGAGGCCACCTTAACACCGCTGCTAGAAATGTAGATGAAACATATAACCACCAATTCTCCAGGTAAACGCAAAAAGGGCGAAAGGTGCGAGATCTGTTAAAATGTTTCGAGTATTGTAAACCATGCTTGCCTCCTCTAAGATGTAATCTTGCCCAGTCGAGGGCCCTCGTTAAATCTCCAACTTTGGTGTCCGTGTAGCATATATGCTTTCCAGCACGGCTGATATAAGCAATCCCAACGGTCTTGCAAAGACTGCGCTGCCGGAAGTCGCTTGGGACGACACTCCGTGCGAAGCGACTGGCGCGCCGCGGCGCGGCCGGTACCGAAGGTAGGCAGTGAGAACCCCAGAGAAAACGAAACCATGCCGCGTACGTTGGTACGCATTGAAGTCGGAGCGGTGCGGTTGCGCTGGGTTCACAGCATGAAGTGCTGCCTGTGCTGCGTCATTAAGTGCTTCAATAGTTATACGTCATATCTCATGAGGACAAAGTGCCGACAAAGTTTTAGAGTTTTTCACCTCGCCGATGTTTTGTCGGACAGCGACAACGATGGACCCGTGCCGTACGACGCGAGGAATTTGGTCTTCCGATCATGTCTGCCACTGTGTCGGCACGGCTGAGATATTCTACACTGCCGCTTTGCGCTCTGCGTTTGTCTTCGTACCTGTAACGCCTACATGAGTTAGCGCCGATGGGACGAACTGAAATGCCATCCCACACTCGCGGGTATACGCAGTGCCAATTTCGTTGGAGGAATGTCCTCCAAAGAAGTTTCGTCCCCATCGTAAGTGTCGATCATATTTCCGGACAAGTATGGCACGCAATCTGGGGAACTATATTGCGCTTTTTGGACTCCCAGGAGACTTGGAAGAAGGAAGTGACGTAAACGACTGGAGCAAACGCAGATTGGATGTTGACAGAAGAAAACAAAATCAACATCCAATCTGCGTTTGCTGCGTTGTCGACGTCACTTCCTCCTCCCTAGTCTCCTGGGAGTCCAAAACGTGCAACATAGCCCCCCTGTACTTCATAAAAAAAAACTCGAACGGCAAAAAAAAAAAAAAAAAAAGTGACAAATATATGAATCGAAGAAAAACTACAATGAAACTCGGAATCACTGGAGAATCGACGTTTGAGTATGGAAGTTTAAGTGGTGTGCTTTCTTTCTCGATCAGCCTCCTTTTGGAAGTACCGTCCACTGGTCCCTTCCTACCTGTAAAGTGGGCACCTCCCACGATGAGTGGCACTAGGGAGTTTTCGTAAACCGCGTTGCCACCTCCGCTAAGCGTTCCGCAACGAAGAAGTTGCTACTACGCCCACACGCCGATAGCCTTGACTGTGGAGTTCCCGCTACCGTAGCGGGTTGCGGAGGGCCTTGCGGGACGGCGAAAACGATCTACGAAAACTCCCTACTATCTTGACAGCCTTTGATGGTCAAAACCAGTTCCCATTTAGTTACGCTGCCCAAACTAAATTTCCACCTGGTTTCGCTATGACACCTCCTTTTGGTATAATAAGTGTTGTGTCAAGTTACGGCCATGTCAAAGTACCTGTGCGCCGAAAATCAGCAAGTCGCACAGCAGGTTCTTACGCAACAGCTGACCGCAAAAGCCCTTGACGGCCAAACCGTGTGTTGGCCGACAACTTTGTTTTCTCGGCTTTGGAACCACCTTTCGTAAAGTTGTTTCAATTGGAAGTACAGTCCACTAGTCCCTTTTTCCCTTTAAACCTCCACCTCTTACGACCAGTGGTATTCTCTTGACAACCCCTTCATCGTCAAAACCGGTTCCCATTGAGTTACGCCGCCCAAACCAAATTTCTACCTGGTTTCCCTATATATGCCACCTCTTTTTGGTATAATAAGTGCTGTGTCATGTTACTGTCAAGTCCAAGCACTTTCAAATCTGCACTTTGCACAGCCCGCTATAACACAACATTGTGGGTCCAATATTAGATATCCCGTACAGCTTTATTTCTTTATCCGTTAGAAAGATAACTTTCACACCTACTGTCTTAATGAAACTTGGCACACTTCGTGCACAAACTTAGTGAACATGTCATGATGGAACTTAACCCGAGACTGGGGTAGAAACAGAAACTTAAAAGTAGAAGGGACAGAGACAAGTGAAGAAGAGAACGTCTCATCTCACTTGCCTCCAAATATCCTCGTTCCAGCAGTCCTACGTTTACAGCGACGAGCGAAATAAATCTCCCACTCAGAGCAATTATGGTGGCGGAATTGTTTTTCGGAAAATTGCTTAAACTCCTTTTTCGGCCGCCACTAAAGAAATTACCCCTAATAACGACTCAAACTCAATATATGAAGGTGGAGAACAGCTAAATGCCCTTCCGCCCCAGCACTCATGCAACGTCACCCTCAACGTATCGGCTCGAAAAGCAAAAGTTTCGTCCGTGCGCGCTTACGCCGCCACAGCTTGGCATGCGAAAAGGCGCCGCAGGCTGCTCAACGCGCCTCACTGTCGAACGCCAGCTCCACCGCTGGCGGCGCTACGCGCGTTTTTCAAAGCGCCCCCTATAGTTCCCGCACGGAGCGTATACCAAACGATTGACGAGGGAAAGGTAAATGCACTGTTCCAACACTTTTTTTTATAAATGAAAGACGTCGTACGCTGCCGCTGCCACGCCAGCTAATGTAACCGCAATGTTTACCGTGAAGCACATCTTCGCATTGTTAGCAAGGCTAGTGACGTCATCGACACTTCGTACTCTACCGTCGCCACAGTGACATGTGCAACCGGAATCTTTACCGAGAAATGCATGGGGGAGGGCTTCGTGCTTATTATTTATCACGTAATGTTGACACTTGTTTTGTAGTTTTCTTATGGAAACAAGTGTCAAAAATAGATGATAAGAAATAAGGCGCACGCAAACGGTTATAAGGCACGCGCGGGAGTTTTCTGTCGACTATTTCATTTGTCGACCGCTGTTCTGTCGACGGAGACAAAAAAAGAAAAAAGAAAACCCGACCAACGAGTCATATACAGCTTCGCTGTAAAAGAGTGCTAACGGCAAGCTTGGCGGATTTTTGCATTTCAAGTTAATCATTCAAGCGACCAAGCAGAAAACTTGCGTTCCTCCCATCTGGCGGGAATCGTATGTTTTGCATTTTAGAATCATAAAACAATGTTCATCTATCTCCCTGCAATGATTTTGGCGAAGTGTGGCAAGTGCTTACGTGTGTGTGACCTATCCAAGATGTTTTAATAGCACTGATATCACCACAAAGCTCTCTAGTTATTTTTATTCTGTACAAATTCGATCTTATATCCACAAACTAAAATTCAATATATTCATTTGAGCGACCGATTTGATTGCCCTCCAGCCAGGGCTTGAACTCGGCAGCACGCCCAAGAAATCGTCTGCCGCCTTGGCTACTCTTATCCAAGCATCTTCTGCTGTCTCTGGGGCGTCTGTGGCAGCCCGCAAGATGGCCGCGCCAGATAAGTCTAAGGGGCTAGCGTTTAAGACACTTTTGTTTTAAAACAAAGGTGAACGACTTTATCGCATGAATTATCTATTTGCCACTCGCCACACCACTTGGCTAAACTATATAATTTACTGTTCAGAGTTTCTTGTTCTGCGGACGACGCAGTCGCCTCCGAATAAACGAGAGGAGCGGCCTGAACCCAAAAAGTCAACTAGATAATTTATGTATATTAAGAATAACAAAGGTCCAAACACGAACCCCGTGCCATTTTCATCAAACAGCGAGGCAAATGCAGTGATAACACAGATTGCGGTGTAGTTTTGCAGAGAAACTGGGCATACATGTGGAGGCTGGATGGCGCAAATGGTATCCGTGTCAGGTTTGCCAAAATCGCTGGACGCGGTTTCGCTGAACTCTGTGAGCGACGTCGTGCGTGCTATATTTCCATCCGGGCAAAGCGGCTACGGCCTCGCTGAGGTGTATCCGCGATTGTTGGTGCTTTGGAGAAGATTGCGAAGGGCTGGCAAAAATAGAGGGCCGGGGATTATCATGTGCACAGCCGCATGCGTCAGCGACGTCTGGGGGCCAGCCTGACCTGGTGCATTAAGGAACTTTGCAAAGTGGGACATCTCTTGTCGTGACCTTGGATACATCTTGCACCAGTCTATGCAGTTCCCTCAAAAAACCGAAAACACTCAACAACTTCTGTTTTCCAAGTGTAGCGAATAGGTAGGCGTGACAGAGCACCGGCCACTTTTGTTTCCGTACCCTTGCGGTTTCTCAGAGTGTACCAA